ATCTCACAATTCTGACTTTATAACTCACAATTGCGAGTTTTTATCTCACAATTCTGTGAAAAAAAGTCAGAATTCTGACTTTATATCTCGCAATTCTGACTTTATAACTCGCAATTGCGAGTTTATATCTCACAAGTCTGTGAAAAAAAGTCAGAATTGTGAGATAAAAAGTCGCAATTACCTTTTTTTTTCTTTTTTATTCAGTGGCGGAAACGGGCTTCTATAGGGCCATTTTATTCATGTCCATAAAAAAATCACCTCAGAATGTTATCAAATCCAATACTGTTAAATTTTTTAGTGCGAAATTACAGTATATTCCAGGTTAATATTTGCATTACTTTCAAAGTAATTTCACAGTGGGACTTCTAACTGCACTCAGAAATTTCTTGTAAACAAACAGCATACTGTGTTTCTACAGTGCATACTATGAAGGCACCCAGCATGCAATGCTGCATGAATAGCCCATGCTGTAGAGTTTTTTTAAATTCTTGTTGGCTTTATTTGTGCTATTGAACTTGTTTTTTGGTTCACTTTTAGCAATTTGCGTTGTTTGTTTATTTTTGTAATGTTGGTTTATGTTGTAAGTGTTGTTTTTGTTGAGTGTTACAATTGTTGTGTTTAGTATATGTCGAGTATTGACGTCACATCTTTCAAAGACGTATCTCAGCAGTTGCTTCACTATTATGAAAGATCCATCCAACAGTTATGAATATAAAATAAGTTACTGATTAATGTTCATGCTTAATGCTGAAATAAAATCCCCATGTCCATGCGAAGAACAGTCTGACTAACTTAAAGTCAGGCAATTAGCTTATTTCATATTCTAGCCTGTCATCATTTTGACAAATATTTTCATTTGTTACACTTCTGACATGATTAGATAAGAAATTTGAACACAAATATACAAGGTCCCAGATCCCAAACAAATAATAATCACTAATCACCATTATGGTGATTTCAAAACAATTACAGCAAACAACTACATTTCTAACAGTCGCACAGTTAAAGAAAACTTTATAATGTGAATTCACAGTAAAACAAGAGCAGTAAATTGCTGTGATGTTAGCATCATTCTGCTGTTCATTGGCAGTAATTTGTAAGAAAATGAGCCAGCATGCATTGATTTCACAGTAAATGACTGACAACAGTAATTTATTGTAAGATAATACTCTTTAATCCTGTAAATTCCTGGCAATTTTTTTACAGTGTACAAATGTAATGGAAATGATATTGCGGTAAACATGATAATGATTTTTAGAAAACATGACATAGGGACTAACTATGTTGGAGGCCTTTCCTTAATGCCTATTTTTTAATTCAACAGTAAATGATTGTTTAAGCCTAAATACCTTCCATTACTTAAAACTTCTGAGAAAACATTCTACACTGCTAATATTAAAAGTATTACAACATTTTAAGGTACAGCACATGTTTTGAAAAATACTGTGTAAAAAGAGTGTGAAAACAGATGATGGAACAAATCAGTTACTCAATTAGTTTAGATCGATAAAAGGGCCTTAATTTTAAAATGTGATGATTAAAACAGTGGAATAGGAAAGACATATTATGCGCTGAAACCTCCATCTCAGGAAATGACATCAGCAAACTGTATTTGAATGTCTTACAAGGCTCAGCTGTGTACTACAGTAAAACAGAGCATTACTCCAAACATATTTCTCAGCTAGATGAAAGATGTTTGCATACATATATATTGTCCTCCTCTTTTTTTCAGAGATTTCAGGTAGGTACCATTTGAAATTAAGCCTTTGAATTTTTCTTTTAATAAATACAAAAAAATTTGATTATTTGTTTAATCAAAGCAGCTGTTTTGGGAGTGACTTTGGAACAAGGTCAACAGATTTTGGTCAAAGCAGTGGGCAAAACTTCATATCTCCCCTGCAAAGTGACCGGTTTGCAATCTTGGCATTATATCCATTGGTACCAAAAGAGAGAGGGAGAAGCCCCATCAAGACTCCTGTATATCAGTGCAGTCGGCAGCTTTATTCATGATACCAACAATCCTCAAGCAAATGACTTCACCGTGGACAGAACCCAGCTTCATAACCTAAAACTGAGCAACACAAAACCGATTCATGCTGCCGTTTACTTCTGCGCCTACTGGGACTCAAACAACCACACACACATACTGTACATTAACTTAAGGATATTGAGAACATTCATTAGATTTTACTCTTCTAAATATAAATGTGACATCTAGCCTATTATAGAGCTGATTTTTTAATGTGTATATAAACCCAATTTCCACCTCCACTATTATACGTCCAACACGCATCCTGAAGAGCAATGCAACAAACAGTTATTTTTCTTCAAGAACTTTAAAATAATCTGCTATATTTATATTTGAACAGTTGCTTGTTTAACATGCAGATCTCCAACAGTGGATGGTGCTATTGAGCTGCAAAGGAGGATTTTCTTCAGTATTAAGGCTCTATCCAAGTTAAATGAAAAATTAAATTACTTCTAATAAGTTGCATTTTACTAAATTTAATTAAAGAGAATCCCGATGAGACATATCAGTCAGGTGTAGAAATGTATCAGTTTTTTAAATAATTCATGCTGATTGCTGAACAAATCAAACCACATATTAAAAGAGCATTGACATTTATCAGAGCTCCACCTCAGGAAATGACATCAGGGTACTGAACAGTTTTCTGCAATGTGTTTTGCAAAACAGTGTTAAGAAATGTACAGGAAACTTTATGAATCATATATCGTCTTACATATCCGAATGAACGATGTTGATAAATGTTATGGTTATGATCTGTTTTGGTTTAGTTTTCAGTGTTTCCTTTCTCCTGCCTTGTTTGTTTCCATGGTTTTTGATTGATTAGCTCCACACCTGTTTCTGTTTCTCCCTGATTACATTCCCAGTATTTAAAACCTGTGTTCTCCAATATTCCTTTGTCTGCTATTGAGTTGATTCCCCTATGTGTTACGTGAGTGTCTGCCTGCCCTGTATTTCCCCGAAGCAAAGATTAAAAGACTGTATTTTGAGTTTACACCTGTGTCTCCTCGTCTCCTCGTTCCACCTCCGTAGCCGTTATGTAACAATAAACTTGTGCACTGTTTTTCTCATAATGACCCCATGGTAAGTAAACTTTAAGGTGGTTAAATAGGTCAAATAAAATAGGTTAATACATTAATAAAGCATAAATCATATCTTAGTAAATCCAATATAGTGGCACTAAAAAGCAATTGGACACTTGAAATTCTCACATTTTACAGAAAACATTTTATAAAGTAACTTTATGGAAAACTAAACTAAACTAAAACATTACTATTGTGGTTAATACTGGCCTGTACAAAACATCTCCTATCAGTTTTTTAATCTCACTAAAACTTTTCTGTAATTAAAATAACCTTAAGCATTGGTATCATTCACATAATCATATTCAAAGAAAAAGGTGCATCTTTCTAATAATAGACAAATATCTTATATATAGGGATAATATAAGAAACTCCCTATTTTATATTGCTATACTTTATAAAGTACTTCTTGCTATACTTTATAAAGTAATTTGAAATTCAATTAGTGTAAAAGGCTCATGCAAAATTGTTTCTAAGGTAACTCCATTTCAGGAAATGACATCAGCACCCCATCTTTGCAGTTCATACAAAAGCAGTGTGAAACCTGATAGAAAGCATTACACCAAGCAGAAAAAAAATCACCAGATAAATGATGTTTTTATACATTTATATTGTTCTTCTCTTAGAGATGCCAGGTAAGTGACATTTATAAGGTGTTAAAAAATTTAAACTCTAAGAATATTTAAATGTATTGAATTTATAATGTAATGAGTTTTGTTTAATCAAAGCAGCTGTTCTGGGCGTGAGTTTGGATCAAGGTCAAAAGGCTTTGATTAAGACAGAGGGGAAAACTGTTTATCTGCCCTGCAAAGTGACTGGTCAGAGCTATATCCATTGGTACCAAATGAAAGATGGTGAAGCCCCGTCGAGGCTACTCTATATCAGTCAAAGGGGTGATGTCACACGTGATACCAATAACCCTCAAGCAAATGATTTCACAGTGGACAAAACAAAGCTTTATGATCTAAAACTGAGTGACACTCAAAAGAGTCATGCTGCCGCTTACTTCTGCGCCTACTGGGACTCAAGCAGCCACAGTGAGAAGATTTACTCACATCCTGTACATGAACTAATGAATAAAGTGTACTTAAATTGTCATTTTAATACATACAACTTAGGCTGTATATGCACAGGATGGCTGGATGATGGCACTTGAACAAATGCATGAATATAAATACTGGTCTATTTGATCAAATGCATGAATAAAGAATCATATAAATAGATTTTACAATTTATATTACAAAATAAAGCACAAAAAGAGTCCTTGACTCTTGATTTTATCTCTTTGACAAATTTAGCAGTAGCACTTTTTAAATACACAACTACACTGTGAAACACACAATATATTCCTAATTATTATATCATAGTATTATTGAATGTTTTTGAACAATATTTTACTCAAAAGTTCTTCACCTGTTTACCATTATTTGAATGCATAGCGCTGCTGTGGAAGAGCCGTTTGCATCTGCTAAGAAGGTTTTAATCAGGGCTAAATTGTGCTTTAAAATTACACGTGTTAAATGAGTGTTGATTCTCATCACCCATCATTTATATAGCAGATTGTTTTAGCTTGTGTAAAAAAACTTATTGTGATAGTGATGGCGACGAGATATGTGCAAAGAGGAAACCACGAGGCTATTATCATTACCTTCTGATTGGCTGATGCACTTCATAATTCTTCAGACTGCTGGACGACAGATGTAGACATGGCACTGTCTGGAATGATAACATTTGGGTTGCTATTAGTCTTAATAGTTGAGATTTCTGTTATAATTATTAACATCTTTCAGTTAACAATTATTCAGCGATTTTCGATTTTAAAAAATCAGCAAGTTCGTTTTTTTTTCTCTGTCTTGAGGTTCGTCTCGCACAACTGGTGTATCCAGATCTTGCAAGCATTTTAAACAAAACACCTTTTGTTGGCCTACTTGTGATACGTAATATGCTATAGACCATTTCAAAGACGCAAACAATAACAAAGGCGTTGGAACGCTACTGCGTATGTCTGGTCCTGAAGCATTTCCGGTAGCGCCATTTTTAAATCTCAGATCTGTCAAAACAATCGTGTACTGTTTAAATCTAGCGAAAACGCAACAGTTGCGGTATTATTATTTTTTTAAATAAACGGTTATTGGAATTACCCTTTAAATATGACTGAGGCGCAAACTTACAAAGAAATTTAAAAGTAGTCTTCCGGACGGCTCTGATTGATGCTGCGTGCGTCAAATAATCTGCTATATTTATGATATACAGGTGCATCTCAATAAATTAGAATGTCATGGAAAAGTTCATTTATTTCAGTAATTCAACTCAAATTGTGAAACTCATGTATTAAATAAATTCAGTGCACACAGACTGAAGTAGTTTAAGTCTTTGGTTCTTTTAATTGTGATGATTTTGGCTCACATTTAACAAAAACCCACCAATTCACTATCTCAACAAATTAGAATACTTCATAAGACCAATAAAAAAAACATTTGTAGTGAATTGTTGGCATTCTGGAAAGTATGTTCATTTACTGTACATGTACTCAATACTTGGTAGGGGCTCCTTTTGCTTTAATTACTGCCTCAATTTGGTGTGGCATGGAGGTGATCAGTTTGTGGCACTGCTGAGGTGGTATGGAAGCCCAGGTTTCTTTGACAGTGGCCTTCAGCTCATCTGCATTTTTTGGTCTCTTGTTTCTCATTTTCCTCTTGACAATACCCCATAGATTCTCTATGGGGTTCAGGTCTGGTGAGTTTGCTGGCCAGTCAAGCACACCAACACCATGGTCATTTAACCAACTTTTGGTGCTTTTGGCAGTGTGGGCAGGTGCCAAATCCTGCTGGAAAATGAAATCAGCATCTTCAAAAAGCTAGTCAGCAGAAGGAAGCATGAAGTGCTCCAAAAGTTCTTGGTAAACGGGTGCAGTGACGTTGGTTTTCAAAAAAACACAATGGACCAACACCAGCAGATGACACTGCACCCCAAATCATCACAGACTGTGAAAACTTAACACTGGACTTCAAGCAAATTGGGCTATGAGCTTCTCCACCCTTCCTACAGACTCTAGGACCTTGGTTTCCAAACGAAATACAAAACTTGCTCTCATCTGAAAAGAGAACTTTGGACCACTGGGCAACAGTCCAAATCTTCTTCTCCTTAGCCCAGGTAAGTAAATGTGAGCCAAAATCATCACAATTAAAAGAACCAAAGACTTAAACTACTTCAGTCTGTGTGCATTGAATGTATTTAATACACGAGTTTCACAATTTGAGTTGAATTACTGAAATAAATTAACTTTTCCACAAAGTTATTTTATTGAGATGCAACTGTATTTGAACAGTTGCTTGTTTAACATGCAGATCTCTAACATTTATTGAGCTATTGAGCTATAAAAGAGGATTTATTTCAGCTTTAAAGGGGTCATATGATGCGATTTCAATTTTTCCTTTCTCTTTGGAGTGTTACAAGCTCTTGGTGCATAAAGACGATCTGTAAAGTTGCAAAGACTAAAGTCTCAAATCCAAAGAGATATTCTTTATAAAAGTTAAGAGTCAGCCACACCTACCTAAAACGGCTCGTTCTAACACGC